CATGGGATACAGCACTGACACCAAAGGATACCGACTGTATGATCCAAAATGTGCAAAAGTCTTTAGTCGGGATGTGGTTTTCAATGAAAAGCAGCATGGAATAGAGAAAAACCGTTACGTACAAATTGAGTGCCTCGGCAATGACGAACAAGTTGATGAAGACAAGGAGAACCACCTCAACCAACCATTGAAGAGCAACCTGAGCCAGTCTTACGAAGATCAGCAAGGGAGAGACAACCTCCAGACTACTACGGTGTCCGAGTAAACGTTGCAAGTGAAGTCTTGAACGAGCCAACATCCATGACAGAAGCACTAACCAGCCCAGAAGGAGCAAAGTGGAAGGATGCAATGGATAAGGAAATCGATTCACTCCACATGAATGATGTTTGGGACCTGGTGAAACTGCCCAAAGACAGTAAGGCAGTTCGCAGCAAGTTGGTGTTCAAGCTCAAAGTCGGCCCTGATGGCTTTGTTGAGAGACATCTAGTGGCTCAAGGGTTTTCACAGAAACAAGGACTCGACTACGATGAAACGTTTTCACCAGTTGTCAGATTTGAGTCACTCCGTACAGTGATTGCAGTGGCAGTACAGAACAGCCTGAAAATACACAAGATGGATATTACTACAGCATTCCTGAATTGTGAGTTGGAAGAAGTGAAGCAGCCAGAAGGTTTTGTGTCTGATGGCCAGGAGGACTTGGTCTGTAAGCTAAAACGAAGCATCTATGGCGTGAAGCAATCACCACGCTGCTGGAACTCTGCACTGGACAATAAATTGAATCAAATGGGTTTTGTGCAAGCTAATGGTGACCCCTGTCTCTACATTGCTTCAGAAGGAGAGATGTTCATCACAGCTGTGTACGTTGATGACATTGTGTTGGCAGGAAAAAGCGATCAACGGTTGGCAGAAAGTCAAGCAAGCTCTTGCCAGGTGAAGGACATGGGAGAGCTACACTACTTCCTGGAGGTGAAGGTTGTCCAAGACAAGGAATCCGGTGACGTCTGGATCGGACAGCCGGCATATGCCACTAGTGTGTAGCAAAATATGGCATGGAGAATGTGAAGACTGTAAACACACCAGTCGACACCAGCACAAGCTTATGAAAACAAAAAAAGATGAGGAGTGTGTTTATCAACAACGCAGCCAATCAGCTGTTGGAAGCATTGCCTAGGCAGTGATCAACGTACATTCAGTTATCTCAAAGTAACAACAGAAACAAATCAACTGAGTCTGTTGGATTTTCAGATTCAGATTGGGGTGGAGACCTTGATGATCGCAAATCTACGTGTGCTTGCACTCATTAATGTCCACAAAGAATGTGTGTGATATGATATGCTGTAACTCAATGAAAATGTGACCTACCATATTTTAGGTTTGGAATAGGCCTTAGAGGTAACTAACCAACATACTAATTAGACCCCCTAAACCCAATAACCTTTTCTTTTTTCTTTTTTAGCATTATTTTTATCAAAATTGCATGACATGCGCATAATGAGAAATTTCAAGGTGACTTACAACTGAAATTTGCTGTGAGTGTACATAAAGGATTATGCTAACGATTCAAAGAACAACACAAAACACACTGAGTACGCAGTCATCCAAATACACGCCTGTGTGATTTATACATTTGAACAGCTTTGAACACGTGCACGGACTAGCGTCTCCTCCAGTGACATTTCGGGCCCGTGGACTCCAGAAATAACTTGTAAAGACGAAGAAGGAGTCTCAGTGTGATCCAGAGGTCGTGGGATATGGCTGTTGAGGGCGAAGTTGAGGTGTCAGGTCTTGCGAGCTTTGCCTCGCGCATTTGTTGCATCTTTGCTTTCAGCTTTCTCTTACGGGGCTCTTTGAGTGCTCTCCATGCCAGATTTTGTAGGAAGAGTTGATCGCTGGAGCCAAAACTCTCATGGATAAACACGGTACCACGGAGATAATAATTCATAAGTATTGCGTAACGGACGTGCACGGATATTTCCTGAATTTTCCGGCAATCTCAATACTTCAACTGGCCCTAGGTCACGTATTATACGTGTAAATAGAGCAAAATTTGGATATACTATTCTCAGCTAGCCGTATTACATACGTAGAAAGTGCTGGGCCGAGAAAAAAGTTTTGATGCAAATTTATGGACATTTATGCGTGCGCGCACTATACGTGTTTCAGCTCGGTGGAACAGCGATCAGCTGGAGAAGCATGAAGCAAACGTGTGTAGCACTGTCAACAGCAGAGGCTGAGTACATGGCACTGGCAAGTGCAGCACAGGAAGCAATGTGGTTACGTCAACTTACCACTGATCTCAAGAATGAGCCAAAGAGTGCAACAGTTATTTTTGAAGACAATCTGTATGGTGAAAAATCCACCATTCCATAGTCCATCAAAGCATATAGCAATAAAGTACCACTTCATTCGAGATCAAGTCGACAACAACAACGTGGAACTGAGATACTGCAGGGCAAACGACATGATAGCAGACATGCTCACAAAGGGACTCAATGGAGAACAGTTTGTGAAACTGAGGCGAATGGCTGGAGTTAGAGAAAAATGATTGACCATTCCGTCTGCAAGAAAGGAGTGTTGGAGAATGACACTATGCATTACTGGAAGCTTTTTACAACTACAAGTAGCTTCCTGGACTAATAGTGTTAACATGATATCACTTGCATCACACCTTACAAGGTGAATTTTTGGAGGCAATACGGAATTTCCAATCAACCTTTCGCTTCGTACGCCGTCGAAAGGCTAACTGTCAGCCTGCAAAACGTTTCTCGCCTCTGCTCTGTTGCTGACGAAGAGCATTAGCTCGTTGCCTCGATGATCTTAACCATTTGAACACAATTCTGGCTTCACTACTCAATGTGTGGCAACTAAATGAGGAATCAACTATATGCCCTAGCTATGCATTATTTGTGTTTAACATGTATTGTTCTATTTGGTTACCACAAACTGGTCAGGTGGCGTTTTGTAACACACGGAGGAATAGATGGGTATAGTTGCCTAATTGTTTACCTGAAATGTTCCACAGACAACAAGGCTGCAACAGAGCGAATTCAGGACAGCTGTGCACAGGTGTGGGTTGCCTTCTCGTATTCTGACAGATCATGACACTGAGAATCTCCAAGTTGCCCAGCACATGCTGCGGTATCGAGGGTTAAATCGAAACAGTGTGATCACACGGAGTTCGACACATAACCAAAGGGTAGAGCGCCTCTGAGAGCGCCTCTGGCTGGTCCTGCACCAAGTTTTACCAAGATGTATTACCGGCTGTTCTATCACCTGGAGAATCAGCTAAGTCTTGATCCCTTGAACGAGCTTCATTTACTTTCCCTTCATTACGTGTACCTACCCTGAATAAATTGGAGTATCGAGATGTTTTACCGTGCACAATGCCTCAACTGTACACAACAGGGTCTCTCCGTCTCCGGGAGTTGACACCCAGAGGGTGGTAGAATTCATGCATACGTATGCAGAGGCCAACGCTATCCTCCTTCCTGGACAAATTCCAGGGTACAAACGCACAGACGTGCAACTGCTGCCATCCAGCTATACGGAAGGCACGGTCACACTATCGTGCAGTGTGTGACGAGGCCAAACTCACTGTGAGACGGACCTTCCAGCAGGCTTATCTCCCATTGTATATACTTCTCTCTTCTATCTCTCTTCCCTATGCTCACGCACACACACAAAATACTACAGATATTACCTTTTGCTCAAAACCAATTAAAATAACATCGCTTGCGCACGTACATATCCTTGCACCAATAATCCTAGAAGACTGCCCGATGTCCATATACACATCCAGATCCTCGTGAATGACACGACCCGCGTCGAATGACGTAATTATTACGCGCGGTATACAGTATGAGGAGATTTGTTTCCGTATGGCATGCCAAACGTAACAAAAATCGGCCAAACTGTAGAGCGTCCCACAACAAGGTAAATGCTCAAAACGAGCTAAGACCCCACCTTTTTAAAACACTCGACACTGCGCATCCGCGTGTGGGTGCCGGTCCACGTGAAAATAATGGCAACTAAGTCCACAGTTTGTGTTCTTGTTTGTCTTGGAGAACATAAGCGCCCCGTCGCCTTTATTTCGTCGGACCCAAAAACCGACAGGTCACTAGAAGATGCTTTATCGAAAAGTTTAGTTCGCGTGGTCCTGGTCTGTCGCTCTTGTTACAAACAAAGTCTCAGGGATGGCCCGGTGAATTCATTGATATGCCCGAAGATGCCGAACTAGCCGATGGCTCGGTTTTAAAGGCTATTATTTTGGAACCTCGGGTAACTGAAAATTGTTACACTAGTGCAACTGTCGTTTCTGAAGGGCAAAAATCTTCCAATGCAAGCATGCAAAAAGTTGAGTGCTCCGACGAATTCCGACATTAGAGACCCAAGTGATCACTGACTTTGTCATATGTGATTCGCTCGAGATCCATCATGAGCTTCAGGGTGACTTCAGGCAAGAGCACGTCAAGTGTATATCCAAAGCCTTCATCAATATCAGCATACTTTAGAGACTAAGACTCCTCACCTGTTCTTCTGCGGCAAACTCTTTCAATACTAGTGTTTTCAACTTCCTTTGACGCAAACACTGACCACCACCTTGATACAAAAAACATTCATATATCCGTTTTTCATGGGTGCAGGGTAACCTCTTTCTTTAGGCACTCCATTTGTATATGCTTCATGATTTTGTTTGTCATAAAACATCATCATGATTAGCTATAGGAAAAATCGTGCATTAGATGTACCTTCCCTGATTGAACATCCAAAAAAGACGTGTTTCTGCACTAGCAAGCTAGCACAGGATTTCCTCTTCAGTAACGTCTGAAAAGGACCTACAGAACACACCCCAAGTAGGTACACCAGCTCACGGAGCGAAAGTACGAAGTACGAACCGCGAAGTGCGGAGTACAAATGAGAAACTGGAGGCACAAAATATGGAAGCCGAAAGCGACCTGCGCGCTTCTTGTTCATCGAACGCGCGCAAGTCGCGGTAAGTAGTAGCATGCGCTTACCCATTCGTGAGGGTGTTTCAGTGGCGGGGCTATATTATGTGAAATTCGATGGAGTTTCGAAATAAATTTGTGGTTCGTTGCGCCAGATCCAGTCTTACAACTAGGCAAATACAAGCAACTCTACTCTCTGAATGCGGTGAAGTTCTAAGGTAGCTATATAGCAGGCCATAAACTACTATAGTTATCTAAAATGAAGCATTCTAGCATGCGGCAGTTACAAACGATCAGCAAGACTAACTGTGTTGGGAGCAGACAGCCAGAGAGCTCCCTCTATCTAGTGGAGAATGCAATCAGGGTCAGACTTAGTATCATTTTCCGACTTAACAATGCTTATTGTCTTTTTCTCTTTTCTAGAAAGAACTCAATGGTCCTGGTTCTCTTTTAGGCTACTGCAGCATGTGGTACAGATTACATTATAAATACGGGCTAAATGTCAGAAGGTACCTAACTTAAATGTTTTGTCCAGTAACTTTTATATACTGTCTTATAGGGATACCATTATGACCATGCTACGTATAATTGATCCTTTGGGAGGTGAGCAGAGAAAAAGGAAGAAGCTGAAAAGGCGGATTTACCGTAGCAAAGTGGGCTGATGTTCTGTAATTTTTAACCTTTTTAATGGTGATGTTGCAGGGGCCGAACTATCTTTGGCATTGTGATGGTTACGATAAGTTAAAACCCTTCGGAATTGCGATTCATGGGTGTATAGATGGGTAAATAATGCTTTTATTTTAACAACTGCTATCATGAGATGCATCTATAGCTTCTCGCGAAGAATCATGTGGTTAAAAGCATCTTCTACCAACAATAATCCCCGCTGTATAGCACAGTATTATGTGAACTGTGTTAGAGAGAGTGGAGGTTAGAAATTACCATAATGTAGTAATAATCTATTAGGCTGAAATCAATGTAAAGGATGTCCGCAAGTACTGAGGACCGATCGTGGGACAGAAAACTACACAGTAGCAATGATACAGCCCATGCTCCGCCACAACCACAATGATGACTTTGCTGGAGAAAAAAGCCACATTTATGGGAGATCTACATCCAACCAGGTAGCTATAATAATATAATTATTACAGCTATTGCTTGAAACCTTTTATCTAGTCCCTTATTATGTTAGAGAATTGAAGCGTGGTGGAGCCAACTGAGGAAAAGGCACATGGAGTGGTGGATTACCTTTTTTAAAGTATGTATTCTGTCTTTGCATAAACTGTGTATATCATAAGGATTTTCACACTGACTGTTTCAGGATGTACACAATGAAAACCACTTCAACTCGTCCATACCCTACCATGTGTAAGGAGCAATGGATTATTCAGCATGTTCTAATCGCTATCATTGGCCATGGCTATACGTGTACAGAGATTCAGTCCGATTTGCTTTTGGACCTCTGATACAAAGAGAACTTGACAACTTTGTAGTGGAATGGAACCATCATCGTATCCGTTCATCATCAGGCACCATCTGGGATACCTGAAGCACTATTCAACTTCCCAGCGCTTCATGGTAAATGTCTGCATTCTTATTATTGTACATTGCTATTAGCTGTAATGCAAACACAAAGGAGTGGACAACAGAATCTGCTGTGTGGATGAAGAACTGCTTGATGAGATTGAAGATAGCTACTGCACCACACCTAGTTTCGTTAAACCAATTTTTGCAGTTGCTGCCAATAGAATAATGGAACTTTTCAATTTGACTATGCCTACTACTTTTGAAGAAAGTCTTGAACTTTACCACACACTAGTGACTTTTTTACACCACATACTATAACTGTATAATGAGCTTAGCAACATCATTTCTGTTCATTATGCAAGTTCAGGGAACAGATCGTGGTTCATAAAAGCACCAAAGTGGTTAGCATCACAGAGGGGGCACTCATTTTGAGGTGTAGAATAGTAGAAAGACCTTCCATCTGGAAGCTCACAGTTGGTCTCAGGGATATAAGTACGGAACTCCTTTGAGCAGCTTATGCATTGTTTCATAACGGGCTCCGTTGTTTTCATAGATCCTGCATAACAAATACAAGAAAATAATGCTTGGCTAAGCATCAACTACTGCAAAAACATATTCGTGCAGGATGTAACAAAATTATAGCCCCACATCGCCCCCAACCCATCCCCCCAGGGAAGACAACCGACTCTAACACACACAACATGGTTTTGGATGCTGCGTTGTGCAGTAACCATAGACCACGTGTCCATGCCATCAAAAAAAGGGGAGGTCAGTGGTTTTTTCTTAGACTAACCGCCTTTTCCACTTTTCTCAACAACAACATTCCCAGGATCATCTGCAGTATCATCGGAAGCTGGATCTGTGTCACTCACCTATTTTTGGATGAAAAACATCCAGTAAACATTTTGAAAAAGAGACCTCTCTCAATAAGGACATTAGTTCTCCCCCATACTAATATTAAGAAACCCCTCTGATATTTTTGATGTACTCAATAATAATTCAAAGGTTTTTTATACCTGTAAAACAACATACAACTTGTGTCGACTTGGTTGAAGCCCATTACTTTGATAGAATGTCCCAATTGTCCAAGTGGCTCGAGATGAAACATTAATGGTCACTCCATTGGAATCAGCCAAGCTGGGACTATCTAATTCTGGGTTATACAACTCAAAAAAGATAGATACAGCCATGTTTAACACTTTGTTATATGAGCTATCCCTCCTCATTTCCACTTTAGTGGGGTTGGGCTCGTGCAAATATCTCTTTCGCACACCACGCCCAAGAATTGGATCAAAAACCATTCCTCCCAAAATTATCTATATACAGAAAACAAAAATGCACAAGTTATATGAGTGTATATATACTTGCAGCACATTACAGCGTTAGACAGACAGCAGCAGGCAAGCCATACAACTAAATATGTAAGCGCTCAATGCCCGAAGGCCCATACATAACAAACTTGATTCATGTGTCCTTTGCTGTGTCTAACATTTAAAAAGACACAGACACGTAGATATGACAAACAGTCCTTTACACAAACAAATGTGCATACCATCATCATTTGAGGTGAATCCTTCTTCGGCTTGGCAGAATTAACCTTTTGCAATGATTTTGCTTTATAAAATTCTGATAACTCCTTAAATGTTTCTATAAAAACACAAGATTATAGTATAGTCGGGTTCTTTCATTACATACTCGGCTTTGAGTTGTCTCGCTGGGACACGCGAAAAGGTGTTGGAGGAGAAAAACGAGAAGAAACACTAGGGAGATGATCCCCTAGAAGAGGACGCACTCTCACTTCCACAAGATCCACGACGCCGAATAGCAAGAGGTGGGTCCTGAAACAAACCATGGTACAGAGGTTAGCTAGGCCAGGCTCTGTGCCTTTTCTTTTCTACGAATGTATACAGCTATATACTTTCCTCCAACTCCACCCACATGTCTATTAAAACGTATAGGATATTGGGTATACCTCCTGAGATACGCTTCCTTTCGTCTCCCACAGCTGCAACAAAATCGCGTGCTCTCCAACAGTCAACTTAGGCAAAAGCCTTTCAAAGTGTTCCTCGCGAAGACGCTGGAAAACATGGATACTAAACACGGCCTCGTCCTGTAGGGTGGAAAGGGCACCCTCTCCCAATCCAGCTCCAGAGAGAACAGCACGAAAGTCTGGGTCCATGCTGCCTAGCTGAACTCTGAACCTTCCTTCGCACGTGCGAAAGAGGCAAGGAATCGAGAATTGCGAACCTGTGAACGAGAAACGCGAAAAGTACGCGAACGGGAACGTGCATGTCGTTTTCGGCTTCCGTACAAACATGCTTTTTTTCATATCTTATACAACATACAGGGTGTGCATATCCCTTAGGCTTGACCCTGGTTGCTGTGTGTAATTGACCCTTAGAGTTGAACTCGCTTTGTGACTCTTCTAGAGATCATGTTGGATGAGGAAAGGAGTGAGAAGAGAGGAGGTAGCACTGTGGTGAGCATGAACACACAATTAGATGGTTTTTTTCTAACTTACCATGCACCTTTCGACATGTACAAGCACATGAATCCAATGTAAAAAGGAACTGTACACATAACTATTCAGCCTTGTACTAAAGTCCCATATTAATTAGGGGATATGCACACTTCACATGTCATGCAAGAGAGACAAACATGCTTTTCCATATCTTATACAACATATAGGGTGTGCCCAAACCCTGGTTGCTGTGTAATTCACCCTTAGAGTTGAACTCACATTGTGAGATCATGTTGGTTGAGGAAAGGAGTGAGAAGAGAGGAGGTAGCACACTCTGATAGACTGTGGTGAGCATGAACACACAATTAGATGGTTTTTTTCTAACTTACCATGCACCTTTAGATACGTACAGGCACCTGAATCCAATGTCAAAAGGAACTGTACACATAACTATTCAGCCTTGTACTAAACTCCCATATTAATTAAGGGATATGCACACTTCACATGTCATGCAAGAGAGACAAACATGCTTTTTCATACTTATACAACATACAGGGTGTGCATATCCCGTAGCAACCCTCTTGACCCTGGTTGCTATGTGTAATTCACCCTTAGAGTTGAACTCACTTTGTGACTCTAGAGATCATGTTGGTTGAGGAAAGGAGTGAGAAGAGAGGAGGTAGCACACTGATAGACTGTGGTGAGCATGAGCACACAATTAGATGGTTTTTTCCTAACTTACCATGCACCTTTAGACATGTACAAGCACCTGAATCCAATGTCAAAAGGTACTGTACACATAACTGGGATATGCAAACTTTCACATGTAAAAATAGACCATGTTGTGCCAAGAGAAAAAAAAAGGTGGAACTCTGGACAGCTGTTTCGGGCTTGTTGGCCCTCATCAGCAAAGCATACCGCAACTTCTCCCTCTGGCATCACGAGTTTATAAAGGCAAAGTTGAGCGCAGCACTTGTGGATTTGAACTAATGAGATTCAACCCCACAAGGCTTTTCTCAGGCGCAGCGCTTGTGGTTCTGAACTAATGAGATTCATCCCCACAAGGTGTTGCCAGTACCGAGCCAAAACCCGAATTCAGAATGTTGGCATACCGCGGCAATGAAGTCACCAAGCACCCATATCCTGCCAGCGCATACACATGTAACAATAGACCATCTGATGCCAAGAGAAAAAAGATGCGGAGCTCTGGACAGCTTTTGGGGCTTGTTGGCCATCATCAGCAACATGTCATGCAAGAGAGACAAACATGCTTTTTCATATCTTACACATCATACAGGGTGTGCATATCCCTTACCAAACACTGGTTGCTACGGTGTGACCCTGGTTGCTATGTGTAATTGTCCATGAGCCTGTCAAACGCAATATATATTAACTCCTATCTCAGGGGACTAAAGTACATATCTTGAAAGAAAATGTACATAGTGCTATAGCAATAAGATTTCTAAGTATAATTAACCCTCAGATTGGGGACAGGGCTAGAGACGAAATAGCCCAAGCTATACAGTACCAGTAGGATAGCCCTAGCCCTAGCCCTATCCTACTATTACCTATAGCTAGGGCTATTTCCTCTCTAGCCCTGTCCCCACTCTGAGGGTTAATTATACTTGGAAATCTTATTGCTACAGGCCCAAATAGCCCTAGCCTAGCCCTATCCCTATAGTCCAAACCCTAGCCCTAGCTTAATCCCTATTGTCCTAGCCCTAACCCTAGCTTTATCCCTATGCACCTACCTAGCCCTAATCCCTATATAGTCCTAGCCCTAGCCCCTAGTCCTAGCATTATCCCTATAGTCGTAGCCCTAGCCCTAGCCGTCCCTACTAGCCCTTACTCACCTTCAGGGACAACGACACTTAATGGAAATACACCATGCAGCTATCTCCTTTGCTAACCTGAAACACCTACTTACTAGTCTTGAGGGACAACAACACCTACTGAACACCTTTAAAGACAAACACATAATGTATATTATTGTTCTTATATACATTGATATATACCTTAGGGAATAATCCCTATCCTAAGGGTGATATCCCCCCCTTGAGGGTCATTAAGGCACCATCCCTGTGATACGGGGATATAGCCCTGTCGATCAGGGATATGATCCCTGTCGATCCCTTAAATATACATCCCATTAGGGACATTAACAACGACACAGGGAGGTAAGTTTATGGCCCTAGCCCTAGCCCTAGCACAAGCCCCTGGACATAAAAAAAATGTCCGAGTTTCAGGGCCGTGTTCATTGTATTCTACGTCACCTACTGACCATTTTGGGCTACATTTGTAACTATGGGATGTCCGGTTTATAACTCCTTCACCTTGTATGGTAGGGGAGTGGGGCCTTCCTTGTTGGATAGAGGGAAGATAGATCTAACTTACCCTAGCCCTAGTCCCGGCCCTAGCACTTTCGTCGCTTCCCTGGCCCTAGCCCTAATTCGGAGGACTTGAAGGACACAAAACTGTACTTTTTCCCTACGAATTAAAAATCTATATCTCCCTGGAGAAGAGGTTGTGGGAACTGCTGTTCAGTGACAGGTTGCGACTACCCTTCCTCTACCTAACCCTCACCTTTACGACTTTAACCCCGCCCCCATTTTCTAACCCAGGCCTTTACCCTAACGCACGTGTCCTCTGGGGCAATGACATTCTTGACTGGGATTTGGATTTCGGTCGTGGGTTTGGTGTGCCTGGACAGAGTGCAGCCTACTGCTGTGCTTGGATTTTTTTGCCTCTGTTTCTTTTCCATGATATATGGTAGAGGACATTTTTGTGTCCTCCACAATTTAGCCCTAGCATCATAATCAGTACATTTGTCCTCGACTTTGAACTGGCACTGGCTCGAGGCCTTCCTTCGTTTGGACTTTTTGTCTCGGGGGTTGCGTAGGCGAAGCCTTGAAGTATTCAACCCTACTTAGAACTTTGACCTCTGCCCTCCCTCAACGGAGCCCTGGCTTTCCCCGTTTCGCAATCTTTTATATATTTCAAGCTCGGATAACTTTCGATCCGACCGTTCTTTTCCTGGAATTCGACCGGCCTGATGTTCATCGGTTTGTATTCTTTCCAACAAACAAATTTATTTTGGCGAGAGTTGTTCCGTTTTTGAGTTTCAAAGGAGGACAGAAAATGGACAAATTTCGACCTTTCATTGCTCGGATGGCTACCAATTCTTGGCATGAGATGGCCTCGCGCAAGCACTTTTAAAATAAATTAGTGCCGTCTCAATCGGACCAAGTTTCAAAGTATACTGGAGGACACCGATTTATATTAGATGACACTGGAGGACATCATGATGGAGGACAAGAGAGGACAATGTCCTCCGGAGAGGACACTGTCCTCCGAAGGACATAGGAGGACACTGGAGGACATTGCCCAGAGGACAGCGGAGGACACGGGAGGACATTACCCAGAGGACAGCGGGGGGACACTGGAGGACATACACATGGAGGACACTGGAGGACATTACCCAAGAAGACAGCGGAGGACACTGGAGGACATTGCTCGGAGGACATTACCCCAGAAGACAGCGGAGGACACCGGAGGACACGGGAGGACATTACCCCAGAGGACATTGGAGGACCCGAGGACAATGACCTAGAGGACTACCCTACCCCTGGAGGACAATGGCCTAGATGACAGTTTACCCTAGCCCTACTTGGAGGACATTGTATGACTGGAGGACAATGCCCTAGAGGACGTTTTACCCTAGCCCTACCCATGGAGGACATTGGAGGACCTGAGGACAATGACGTTTTACCCTACCCTACCCCTGGAGGACAATGGCCTAGAGGACAGTTTACCCTAGCCCTACTTGGAGGACATTGTATGACTGGAGGACAATGCCCTAGAGGACGTTTTACCCTAGCCCTACCCATGGCGGACATTCGAGGACCGGAGGACAATGCCCTAGAGGACGTTTTACCCTAGCCTTGCCCATGGAGGACAATCCCCTAGAGGATAGCCCTACCCCTGGAGGACAATGACCTAGAGGACAGTTTACCCTACTTGGAGGACATTGGATGACTGGATGACACTGCCCTAGAGGACGTTTACCCTAGCCCTAGCAATGGAGGACAATTCCCTGGAGGACTCTTTACCCTAACCCTACCCCTAGAGGACAAGACTGGAGGACATCTCACTTTTGCCCCAGACTCCTCATCATGAAAGTCATTAATTCAGGCCACCTTTTGCCATGCCTAAACGTCAAACCAAACTTTCAGAAGCGGTAAAATTTTGGCCCCAAA